AGATTTATTCTGCGTTTCCTGCAGAAGATCGGCGCGCCCTTTTGAAAATCATGGTTGAATGTGTTGTCTCTTTTCTTTCTGGTTCAGCTTTTATCTCCTTGCCTCACTCTTCACCCCCCGCCCCCCACAGAAGATCTGCCAGCTCCCCACCGCTTTTCCATCCCTTCAGGGTCCTGCAGGTTAATGGCTAATTACGCTTACCATAGAAAATCTTTTCCAGAATAAGATAAAAATATGAATGAATGAATGAATGAGAGAATGAATGAAAAACTCTCAAAGAAAGAAATAAAATTGCTGTGCTAAGAAATACAATGCCCCATGACGGATTATGTGCTATACTACCTAGATAAAACTTTTCAATTTCCCTAGGAATCCTGAGTGAAACCCAGATAGATTTAACAATTGAAATAAGCCAATAAGAGAAAAACGAATACCATATTATTTTACTTATAGGCAGAATCTCATGAGCAAAATAAACAAACAAACAAAACAGAACAGACATAGATACAGAGAAGAGACTGACAGCTGGCAGAGGGGAGGGGGGTTGCAGGGCTGGGTGAGAAAGCTGAAGGGATAAGCAAACAAACAAATGACTCCAAAATCTCATAGACAGAGACAACAGTATGGTGATTACCACAGGAAAGGGGATGAGGTCTTGTAGAAAAGGGTAAAGGGGGATAAATAGTGACAGAGGGAGACTTGACTTTGGGTGGTGAAAACACAGTATCATATACAGATGATGTGTTACAGAATTGTGCACTTGAAACCTATATAATTTTATTTGCCAATGTCACCCCAACAAATTAAATAAAAATGTCTAAAACACACACACACACACACACACACACACACACACACACACACACACAAGACTCTAGGATGTGATGGTTTGGGGCAAAGGGCCTTTCGGTGCAAGGGTGCAAGAGACGCGGCACATTCTGGATCTGAGAGCCCAATCTCAGGCCGCTGCTGCTGCTTTCTTACTTGCATGAATTCTCAAAAGCAATCCCTAAATCCATTTTCTTCATCTGTAAAATGAGAAGCATTAACAACTGTTTTGCATGATTATTATTATGAAGCTTCAAAAGAATCTACTAGGGTGTTTAGTAATCACCAGTCACACAAAGTGTAGCTATAACAATAAAATTATTCTTATTGATGTGTGCTCAATAAAAAATTCGTGCTAGGATTTTAACAGGTAGCAATAGTACCTTCTCTTAGGCCTTTGTTTGAACCAACACTTCCATTTTAAACAGCTGAAAATTTTTGTTCTCAGAGTTGTTATCAATAACTCTGAAAAAGAAAAAAAAATCCACTCTAATTAGTTCTAGTTTTAGTTAAGTAGTTGCTACTCATGGAAAGGAAAGAAATCAAAGAAATAAAAGGAAAATCTACTTTGATAAATAACAGAAAAAAATCGACAGATGTAGGACATTCACCTCAAAGTCACTACCACTGTTTTCGCTCATAAAATTAATAATAATAGTAATAATAATAATAACTTGCTATGTATCAGGCACGTTCCTTAATGATTTATCAGCATCACTAATTTAATTTCCATAACAATTCACCATTTTTTCACATTGAAGAAGTTGAAGCACAGAGAGTAAAATAACCAAAGTCATAAGAACAAATGGCAAAGCTGTAATTTGAACTTGAGGTGTCAGTTTCCATTGATAAGGTGTCAGGCTAGTGTACGTCAGTATTTCTTCCTCTTTGTCTCCCCCATCATCTGTCCAAGGTGCTCAAGCCTCCTGAGTAGCAAAACTAGAGCAAATGGACCATTTCTTTTTGCCTCCCACTGTAGTCATTCACATTCTAAGGAAATTCAAATCTTTCCAGATGATCACAAAAATATCATTTGGCACATGACACAGAACAGTTTCTTTTTGTTCTTCTTTCTCTTTCTTTGTACAGAATCAAGTTTGCAGATAGCTGGTTTATAATCCTCTTTTGCTTTGGTTTATCTCACAGTATTAATTATGACTTCACAATCACTAACTAAAGCAAGAGGCTTGTAAAAAGAATGGCAAAAATGGTCATGGAGATTTTCTTTAATGAACCACAACCAGGTAGCTTTGTTGAAAGTGTCTTCTTGCTATAAAAAATACTGCACCATACATTCCCCTGAATAGCTTGATGTTTGAAAAAAAGTTGGCAGGTGAATTCAACTTCTTTTTTAATCCTCCCACAAGGATATATTTATTGTCTTTAGAGAGAGAGGGAGAAAGGAGGAGAGGGAGGGAGAGAGAGAGAGAGAAGCATCAATATGAGAGAGAAACTGATAGATTGCTTCCCTTATGAGCTCTGACCAGGGTGGGGTATCAAACGCACAACCTTTTGGTGTATGGGACAATGCTCCAATCAACTGAGAAACCCAACCAGAGCAACTGTTGATCTCTTCTTGTTTTTCTTTGTCTGAATTCCTTCCCAGAAAAACAAATTCTGTTGGCAAATACTGAACAAGCTTGATGCCTTGTGTAATACAAAATACTTATGTATATAATGGGATGTTTACATGTGCATTGGGATGAATAAGTGATTCAGCATATACAGCATTCAGAATATATGTCATCATAGTAGTAATGAGGAAAAATATGGCTTCATTTCTGGTCTTCCAAATGAGAGATAAGCACTAAATGACACTGTGACCCAAGAGATATGTTGCTTTTATTTTCTTCTACATTTTCATGGAACAAGTTACTCACTTAGATACTGACACGAAATTCTGTTTTGTTGCAGTAACTGTCATAAAACATTAGTGAATGACTCATTATTAAAATATTAGCCACTCATTAGCAAGACTGAATTGGCATTAATGTGATAATTACCATGAACTGTCAATTTCCATCATAGTGTCTTCTTTGTGTTATAGCAGAGGAAGGCAGAAGAGAGCCGAAAGAACAAATCCAACTGCCCACTGCCTTCCCTACCAGAGAATGATGATGAAAGCATCTGGAAGAAAAATGATGGTGGTGATAGGTAATGTTTATTGAATAATTGTTCTTTGCCAGCAATTAGTCAAGTGTTTTACATATACAGTAAGTTCTCACTTAATCATCACTAACAGGTTCTTGGAAACTGCAACTTGAAGTGGGATTATTTGTAATGACATCAAAATCCATGGGCTAATTGATATAAACAAGAGTTAGGTTCTTATGGCATATTTCTGGTCACAAAAACATCGCCAGACTTCTAAATCAAGACCCAAAACACTGCCCTGACTGGTGTGGCTCAGTGGGCTCGGCATAGTCTCCGGGGCTGAAAGGTTGCCAGTTTGATTCCCAGCCAGGGCGCATTCCTGGGCTATGGGCCAGGGCCCCCAACTATATCTGTGTTTCTCTCCCTCTCTTTCTCCCTTCCCTTCTCTCTAAAATTAAACAAAATCTTTTTTAAAAAGGACCCAAAGCACTTTTAATGTTAAACATTGAAATAAATGTGAGCTATACATAACCTTCAGACATATTAATAGAAACAATTAAGAATTATTTTCCAACTCACTTGTTACCAGTTCAGGGGTACAGGTGGCTGGAGTCTATCCCAGAAGCTCAGGGCACAAGACGGGAACCAACTCTGGACAGGGCGCCCTTCCATTGCAGGCACCATCACACACATCCCCTGCACTCATTTGGACTGAGACAATTCAGATATTCGAATTCACCTAACGTGCCTATCTTTGGGATGTGGGAGGAAGTGAGAGTACCCAGAGAGAACCTACAGAGATGGTGAGGGGGAGATGTGCCAACTCCACAGAGAGAGTGGCCCTGGGTGGGAATTTTATTCTTTCATCAACTAGCCCTATAAATGATGAACTATTATTAATACCATTCCAAGAGGATAAAATTGAGACTTAGAAACATGATGTAAATTGCCAAAGATCACACAGGTGTGAGTAGCAGAGCTAGAATTCAAAGCATGATGTTTAGCTGAAGCCCAAACCCACGTGCTTGGTGGTTAAACTGTACCCAGGATGTCTCAGCCTCAGCGCTACTGACACACATGGCCAAGTGACTTTCTGATGCGAAGGCCTGCCGTATGGGACTGCAGGATGCTTAGCAGTTTAGCAACATCCCTGGCCTCTGCCCACTAGAGGCCAGTAGTGCCTTCTTTCCCCAGACCCCTCCCCTGCTTGTGGCTGCCAAAAATGTCTCCAGACATTGCTAAATGTCCTTCAGGAGACAAAATTGCCACTCCGCCCAGGTTGAAAATCACAGTGCTACTCTATGCTTTCTTTACAATGATTATATAATATCGTGCGATTAAATAACTCAGAAATATAATTTTAATGGCTAAAATATATTTTATTGAATGTTAAATTAGTGCTACACCTAAAATACTACTTTTGATTTTGATTTTTTTTAAATCCTTACTTGTAGATATGTTTATTGATTTTTAGAGAGAGAGAAAGAAACATGGATGTGAGAGAGAAACATCAATCGATTGCTTCCCATAATCTCCCCAACCAGAGATCTAACCTGAAACCTATGTATGTGCCCTGATCAGGAATCAAACCCATGACCTTTTGGTCTATGGGATAATGATCCAAACAACTGAGCCACCTGGCCAGGTTGGTACTTTTGATTATTTTATAAGGAAAAATTTATATTTTAGAACTTAAAACAATCAGGTTCTTTTAAATCTATCTCTTTGGTGTATTTTAGACATAAAGGTAAACTTCATCAATGAAATAGTAAGCAGGAGGTGTTTTATACTGCAAGGACTATTAAAGCCCTCCTTTAAAATATGTTGCCATTTTTCACCTGCTATCCTTTAGAAGATAAAAATGAAGGAGACTTGTATCAGTAACAGATTTAACAGTGAAAGAGTTTATTTGATTACTGTATACAGACATGGCCTAAGTTAGAATAAAATAAAATAAAACTGCATGCATAAGTACTTGAAAATAAAAATAAATTCATTTTTTAGTTTTTTTCCAAAAAAATCAAATTTTAAAAAAATTTGTAATTTTATTATTTTTCTAAAATGTCTAATAAATCAATGCTAAGGCTTTGGTTTTGGGCTTGTTTATTTTAAAATATGTACTTAAATATATATTAAAAGCAAGTATTTTGTTATTTCTACCTATATCAGTCACCAAATATTGTAGTGCCTACTCTTATGTTACCTACTTTAGGAAAAGATATAAAAATTAAGGTCTGCATTCCTGAGAAAATTATTTTAAAAACAAGTCATATATACACAAAGCCTTAAGAATAAGAATAGACAGTGTAAAGCAACTAATAAGGTGTTTTACATAATTCACATTAAAGAAAAACATACACATACACACACCAAAGTTAAGGAAGATAGTGAAATTCATTTACTAGGCATGTTACATATAAACTATTTGTCACAATTTTGCATTTTAAGAGTCCACATGAAAAATCACAGTATGTACAGACTAGAAACAATGTATACCAGACAAAAACATCCTAGAGAGGTTTAGCTTGTCAAGCTTTTACAATTTTTTCCCCAAATCATTTTAGGGTTTGGGACCAAAAAAATGGTTAAAAGCAAACATTCTATCCTTGTGGTTTTGACCTATTATTCTTTTTTACCATAAAATAAAACAAAACACACACAAAAAGAATAATTTCCTACAAATTTCACAAAGTTTTAAGTTAATGATGTTTGGTTTATAGTTACTGAGAAATGTTTTATCCACTATCATAAAAAACAGAATTAAGAACACATCTGGCTAAATAAATCCAAAAGAGAACAGTAGATTTTGTTGAGTTTATAGACAATGATAAGTATTTAAGTGACCATACATTTTTAACCTTTTCCTTGGGTACAATTTGAAGGTAAGCTGCCTTTTAATAACCTACATGGGACATCATGGTTGTGATCCAAGTGATTAGCATCACAACAAAATTATCTAATACACACACGTTGCTTAGGGCTGCAATGTTACCATAGTTACAACCAGATCAAACATCTCAGGAAAGCAGAACCACTAAAGTCTTTCAACTTGCAGAAATTCAGCACTTTTGATAGGTTATAAGCCTTCATTTTCCTTCATTTAGGGGCTTTTCCAATTGGTTTTGTGTTGTTTCTTCGTCTTTCTTTTTTACATCTAAAAAATAAATAATTTTCATTCATATATTGAATATATTAATATATATTTTGTATTATATTATAACAAAATCATTAGTTTTTTCCCTTGATGCACCCAATCATTCTCTACTTAGTTAAGACATACTTTCCAAACATGGAAACTACACAAACAAGTCAGACCCCAACTTTGGATTTTATTAGCAATTTGAAATGATAAATTTTTAAACCCTTAATAATATTTGTAGTTAGATCATTAAAAATAGACCTTATATATGCTTATTTATAGCTATTAAAAAACATTGTCTATTTGTCCATTTTTCTATCTACACCTGTAAATGCATTTCCTTTTGTATATTCTTTAACATGTCATGTTATATATTGATTATATTTTTAGTATTTTAAGTTTCTTAGTTGATGTCTTTGACTTTATTTCAAAATGATTTAAAGGAACATATAAAAGTAGTAAAAATATTCTCTCAGATAATAGTTTCTTTTAGAGAGAGGGGAAGGGAGGGAGAAAGAGAGGGAGAGAAACATCAATGTGTGGTTGCCTCTTGTGTGTCCTCTGTTGGGGACCTGGCCTGCAACCCAGACATGTGCCCTGACTGGGAATTGAACCAGCAACACTTTGGTTTGCCAGCCAGCACTCAATCCACTGGAGCATACCAGCCAGGACAGATAATGGTTTCTTAAGTGACTAAAATAAAATGATGAAAACTACTAACTCTCCTACAGTATATTTGTTCTCTTTTCCTTAACTAAGTAATGTCAACACATATTAAGGTTTGTGTGTGTGTGTGTGTTTATAAACTTTAATTAGGCCTTTTGTATTAACAAGTAAATTCTCTGCCTCATTAGCTGAGGATGGCCCGTCAACAGCTACATCATGTTCAGATAATCACACAGCAGTCCCCCCTTATCCACCCACAGTTTCACTTTCTGCAGTTTTAGTCACCAAGGTCCAAAAATATTAAATGGAAAATTACAGACATAAATATTCATAAGTTTTAAATTGCACATTGTTCTGAGTGTGATGAAATCGCATGCCATCCTGCTCCATTCCACCTGGGACATGAATCATTCCTTTGTCCAGCGTCACCAGGCTGTACACTCTTCTGCCTGTTAGTCACATGGTCGTCATCTTGGTCATCGGATCGTTGCACTATTGCAGCAGGGCTTGTATTCAAGTAACCCTTATCTTACTTAAAATGGCCCCAAAGCCATTCCCATAATTTTTATTCCAGTATATCATTATAATTGTTTTATTTCATTATTAGTCATTGTTGTTAATCTCTTCCTGTGCCTAAGTTATAAATTAGACTTTACCATAGGCATATATGTTCAGGAGAAAACATAGTACGTATAAAGTTTGGTAATATCTGTGGTTTCAGGCAACTACTGGGGATCTTGAAACATAGGTCCTGTAAATGAGGGGGAACTACTGTTATATGACATTTTCAAACTTACAAAACTAAAAACATTACACATGTTATTTTTCTTTTTATTTTTTCCATCTCTACTTTTGTCTTATGTGTACACTTTTTTACTTTTACTCATAGTGAACTGCATGAGAAATGCAATGGCTTTTAGAAAAAGGGGAGATACCCATGGGACTCCAGGATCAGTCCGCAGTCCCTGGCCTAATGATAATATATTTACTTCACAGGGATCAAACCAGGAACATTTGTAACTTTAACAGGTAATAACTTCCTGAGGCAAAGAACCAAGAGCCCTCTTCTGGGGCTCACATTAATGGGGTAGATGTGCAGAAGCTTCTGGCTCTATTTGCCTCATTGCCACCAGGAATAAATTTCTACATGCACATACAGATCCACTTTGACATCTAAAATGGGATGATCCAGCGATTCCACTTCTAGGAAAACATTTGGAGAAACCCAAAACACTAATTTGAAAGAATATGTGCACCCTTGTATTCATTGCCATGTTATTTACAATAGCCAAGATCTGGAAGCAGCCCAAGTGTCAATCAGTAGATGAGTGGATAAAAAAGCTGTGGTGTATTTACAAAATCGAATACTATGTGGCTGCAAAAAAAGTAGGAAATCTTACTTTTTGTGACAGTATGGATGGACCTGAACAATACTACGCTAAGTGAAATAAGCCACTCAGAGAACGAGAAATACCGTATCATTTCACTTATATGTGGAATCTAATGAACAAAATAAACTAACAAACAAATTAGAAATAGACTCATAGATACAGAGAACCAACTGACAGGTATCAGAGGGGAGGGGAGCCAGGGAGCTGGGTGAAAAAAGTTAAGGGGTTAAGAGGAAGAAAAATAAAACAGGCATAGATATGGACAACAATAGGGTAATTGCCAGAGGGATGGGGGGTGTGGGAAGAGGTGGAAGAAGGCAGGGGGGAGACAAATGGTGCCGGAAAGAGACTTGGCTTCGGGTGATGAGTGTACAATGCAGTGTACAGACGATGTGTTATAGAGTTCTATGCTTGAAACCAATGTCACTCCAATAAATACAATTAAAAAAAGAAACGAAATAAAAAAATGAAATGGGGTACAAGGCACAGATATTTTGGTAATGACTTAAAACTGAAATTATCTTTAACCTCTTTGCGTGTGTTTTTAAATGAAGAAACTCTTTTAAACCTTTATTAAAATTATTATTTTATTTATTTTCAGAAAACTAAGCTCTGCAAGCTGCATGAACTGTGTGTAAACCACGGGAAGAAAGAGCCGACTTTCTCTCATTGGCTTGACAGCTCTCCTTTTTTCTTAGTTCAACTACTGGTTGAAGAATGATCATCTTTTATACAAATACCTTAAAGATCTCATCTCTAGTTGATAAGTAAACTTCTTCTAAGAGAAATCACTAAGTTTATAGAATACTGCAGTGAAGCAGGGGCTTCCAGAATGATTTGTCAATGGATGGCAGAAAAAAATTATATTTTTTCTGAGTACTTCTTGATTAATTTTATAAGTTCATTGAGGGAAAGGATAATTCCAATCACCAGCACTGTGCATGATAATACACATCCAATAAATTAATAAGTGTTCACTTTCTACCTACACACCATGAGATAAAAAGATGAAATTGCGCACTTTCAGAAAGCCTGAAAAATCTACCTAGCCTTAAACAAAAGATGAAATATTTTTGTAAACAGCAAGAAAAAAACAAAAACGCTTAAAAGGGAGACTTCCAGAGAAAATAATTAAAGGAGCAGTATTGCTGATTTTAATGGAATTTTGCTGTTACCTTCTTTGACGGAGAGGGCCTGCAGTTTGAGGGGCAGCTCTGAAGTTCCACCTGACTCAGTGGGACCCTGGATGTCTGCGATAGCATTCCGGCGGCCTGTCCTTGCTGAAGATGCAAAATTGTTGACCACAGCTTCCACATCAGTCATTTCTGATGAATCTGTCCTCATAGCATCTACAAATAGAATGTGCACATAGACAAAAGGGTGAGCCTATTCTGAGGCAAATATTCACACCAGTGGCTGAAAGGCATGGGGTGATCAAATACACAACAGCCTTGAGAGCCTAGTTGTTGATCGCACCCTGCATCTGTATCTAATGTCCTGGTGCTGGAGTTTCCATCTGCACATTTGCTGAATAGAGCAGGAAGTTCTCAGTGTGAGCCAGATTCCTACAGATAACCCCTGAGCCAAAAAGAGGTAGTTGGATGTTTTAGGGTACAATAATCTCTTGCCATTTGTTCTGCTTTTCTACCGAAAGATCAGCCAAAGGGGGCTTGGAAGGAAATGAACACTGACTTGTTTGACCATTTCCCATACAGACTCTTCCCGCCAGGATTTTCTTTGGGTACTTGTTAAGCTTGAAACCAAATTACTGTAATTTGTGGGGAGCAAACAAAACACATGCTGTTCCTACTCTTTAGAAATAAGAAATTCTACTTTATCTCAAAGGCTTTTTCCCCCAGTGACAGCTGTGTATTTCTATCTGTTCTCTCCCTAGACCTAATTTTCAATGCCTCATATTCATGTTGGGGAGAGTAGGACCTGTATAATCTTCTCTTGCCTTCAAGTGGACATGGTAATTACTAGTACTTTCCTAAGCAATATTTTTCTTCCCAGCATCTGCCTGTCTCTATGAAAAGCTTCTCAAGAGATCATTCACTATACAGGGAAGGAAGTAGCAGATACTGCTTATTCTAAAACTCTTTCATATGATTTTTTTCTTTTTTTAACCTTTAAAAATTAAATTGCAGTTGATGTACACTAATATATTAGTTCCAGGTATACAACCACATGACTGGACATTTATACAATTTATGATCACCTTGATAAGTCTAGTACCCATCTGACATCATATATAGTTAAAACAATGTTATTGACTATGTTTCCCATGCTGCGCTTTACATCCCCATGACTCTTCTGTAACTGCAATAGTACATCTTAATTCCTTTGCCTTTTTCATCCATTTCTCCAACCCCCTCCCCCTGGCAACCATCAAAATGTTCTCTGTATTATATGGTGTTTTCTAATGAGTGTTTCCTAAGAGGTCAACACTAAACACTGTATCAAAAGCAGGAGGAACAGGAACAAGCACTTACTGATAAGCCATGAAGTGTTAGGCTCTCAGTGGGGCATCGAGAGTACAGAAGAATGACATATGCCCTGTTTTTAGGGGACTCGCACTCTCAAAGGGGAGAAAGAAGGCATATATGCAAAGACTCATAGCATCATAACACAGAATGTGCTGAGTGTCAACCAAAGGATGGATAGTAATCATTTGTGGCACTCGAGGGCAGAAATATGTGAACCTTCGCCTACACAAAGCAAATCAAACTTCTCATTATAGCTGGAAGAGAGCCCTTTCCAAGCAGTTAACTTCAATTCAGGAAATGCTAAAAATGAAGGGAAATAGTCACAAAATATGGTGCACTTGATATGAAAAAATGCAATTCTTTTGGTCTGTAGTACTCAAGACATGCACGTTGAGCTTAGCATTGGCCTGAGGAACCCAGGACTAATTTAGGCTACTCTCCAGATATTTTCACCCTTTTAGGAATTATGGAAAATTTGAGAACAATGCTAGATTTTCAGACACAGTTCTGAAATCAATTAGACTTTTAACTGTTTAATATTTGCCAACCGTCTGGCATTGGCAGACAGTACAAGATAATGTACAGAGCACTGGGCCATTACTCAAAAAGAACATTACAGGCTCACCAGGTGATATTGGTTAATCCATTTAATTTCTCTAAGTCATGGTTCCTCCCCCATATATTGAGTGTAAAAAAATGGCCTGACTGATTCACAGGATTCTTGTGAAAAACCTGAGATAAAGGATGTAGAAACTCTTTGTAACTATGAAATTACATGGTTGATTATTGGCATCGCCGTTCATGGCTCACAAAGTTTTATTTACTCTACCACTCTCTTAGAGTCCCCTTTAACTATCTTCCTACTGGAAGACCTGTTAAGTTTTCTAAGAGGGAAACCAGCATTTATTCAATACTGCATGACTATTTTCATGTCTATTATCCTCATTTAAACCTTCTAAAAATCCTATGAGGTGGTAAGGAATAGCCCTCACTACATGGATGTGGAAACTGGTGCTCAGGGAGGTTAAGTGACTTATTTAAAGTCACACAGCTGCTAATCTAGCATGCGAGGATGTAAACCCAGTTGTTGTTGATTCTGAAAGCAAGATGACATAGATGACCACAAAATTAACTTTCTAAATCTCTGAGATATATACAAACAGCCACACGATAGCTACTTTAGATTCTGTGCTACATTGCTTTTTAAAATATATACATAAATAAATGAATGTGTGGTTATCTTGTGAGCACCCCCATGATGCATGAATTTCAATGAGATCTCTTCTCTACTTGGGAGCAGTGTCCATCACCAGTTTGGAAACAGACCTCATTTGCAGGCCTCTACTCTGTCCTCAGCCAATTCACAGCACATCAGAAGCCATGGCCATGATCAAATGTTAATTTCTGTGCAACACCTTCCTGTATAACTACAAATAAGTTAACTCTGCTAAGCCTGAAGGAGCAGTGCCATGAATACCTTGATTATTTGGCTGCAGAGTCCAAAATCTTAAGATTGAAGATAGAAATAGATATTTAAAAAATTAAGATAAATAATTATATGCCATATAATTTATGTTAAATAAAATGGGTAAATTTTTTTTAAGCAAAATGGTATGTGTTAAAGGAGTATCAAGTTAACATTTGCATATTGAAAGAAAATTTCCAAAAGGTGGCCTATAGACTAGGTCATCAACAAGAAAGAAGAGATTCTGGGCTCCAAATTTATTTCAAGGTTTCTTTGCTGCTGGCTGCTATTTTGGAAGCTTTTGCTTTTAGCTTTGTTATTTTTCTAAATTAGTTCTTTTATGGATTGGTGTTATAGAACAAGCTCATCACAAAACTAAGATTTTGTCAAAGTTAACTCATTAACTATTCTTTGAAGATAAAAAAACAAAACTGGATATGCAGGGAGGCCAAGCAACAGGCTGCTTTTCTCCAGAGCTTTATGTGGTCATTTCCCAGCTCTCTCTTGGCACCATCTTCCTTTCAGAGCCCAGCGCTGGCGCAGAGTGACCAGGATGTCCTGCTCCCCAACACGATGAGCAATTCACTCAGCCCAGTCCCACAGGGCTATGACAAGAGGAATCTGGCTGCAGTGAAAAGTCATCCAATCTTCCCAATAGAATGTATCTGTGACTTAGAGGTCACTGGCAGGAGCATTTGAGCCCACCAGGTGATTCTTAACTGGGTTCTTTTAATTCCCTGGCCGGGAGGATTATTGCAGCATTGAAAATCATCTGAAAGCCCATAAAGGACAAACTGGTTAAGAAAGCTGTGTATATTATATTGTGGAACATTATACAGCTTTTAAAGAATGTATTAAATCCAATTAGATCTACCTGTGGAGATGTGTTCATGATAGATTTTGAAATAAAACAAGTTTAAAAATTTTTAAATATTTACAGTGAGTCTATGTTGGGGAAAAGTAATGAATATAATGTGATTTCAACTTTGTAAGAAAAATAAAATCGTAGTTGGGAATATGAGAACAAGGAGAGTATTAACTATTTTTAGTACCTTCTTACTAAATACCTTATTACTATTTAATAATAATGAGCATATGTTATTTTTGTAATTTAAAAGAATTAAAACATAGTCACCTGGCAAAATTATGAATACACAGATATTCTAGCACAGAAAGGTTCTAAAAACAGCACTTTAGTAATTTAGTCAAAAATAGAATATCTCTAATTAAAAGCCTCTCTGTCTTCCAAATAGTCATCTTACTTGTCTGTTATTATCCTATGTAACAAAGACTGTCTATGCTTGATATATATGAAAATTTCTCTCTTCAAATGCTTTGTGTCACTTTGTGTCATTTGAAAAGTATATGGCCTATAGGAAGATGAGGAAACACTCTTAAAAAAAGAGAGATTAACTTGCAGGTTCTTTTAATTTTCTGAGCTCAAAAAGCTATGTTTGTGTTTGCTAACCAAGACAGCTGACTCACTAGCGACTCTTCCTTTTTATTCTACAGAATTAGCAGAGGAATTTGGATGGGTTCTGCTCTGTCAACCATGGCTGCTTAGAGGAGATAAAACCATTTAGACATTTGGAGATTTCTCAAAAGTCCTCGCAGGCCCACAACAAGGTAATGTGGTTAAGACTGCCTATGACATACTCCTATATGTATGGAAAATACACAAATTTCAGATGCCTTAACAAAAGACCATTACGTACATATATACACACATACAATCCAGCATCTTTGCAGTCTCTGAAGTATTGAAAATGCAACAACAGCACCACTGAAGAAGACAAAAATGTTTAAGCTAAATGGAGATCTGGTTTATATATATATAAAATCACTAGTCAGCTCTCAGAAGACTCAAAAGAGCCTGCTATGAAAAGTGTATATTATATAAACATACTTTTAAACAAATAGAAGGTTTTGCAAGCTATTTTCTTCCCAACTGAGACAGTCCATACTTTGAGCTCACAGTTATTCTTTACTGAAGCTTCTTTACTTGAATCCAAGCCTGCAAGGAGAGGGATATCTCTTTTCTACCCTTTGAATCCATAGCACTTACCCCATCTCCCCCAGTGAAACCACTACTTATTCAGCATGTCCGACTTGCAATCAACTTCTTATCCTCTGAATTAGTTCTCTGGGGGTATGGGTCAGGCTATCTCAAAAAACACTTAAGGTAACAAATGAAGAAGGAAAAACGTGCATTTTGGAAAGTCAGTGTTCTTCCTGGACCAAGGACAGAGACAGATACCGACATACACCGGTCTCAGTGGGTAACTGTCTCCAGCTTTTAATATCCTAATACCTTATGCTAGACTCCTTTAGTTCTCTGCCTACAGATCACTCTTTTGTATGACTGTTTGGAACATACAAACCTCTTCCAAACAAAGAA